GTCTTTGGCGCTGCCGCTGGCGGTGCAGGAGAGGACGCGCCCGCGACGAGCCCGCCTCGGACGCCAATCACGTGGCACCGGTACACCGACTTCCAGCGCCTCTCCCTCAAGCTCATCGCAGAGCAGATCTTGCTCGCCTCGCCAGAGTTCTGTGAGCTGCCTTCCGTGCCGCTCTACCTGCCGGGCGAGATATAGCCGAGAGTAGCCGAGAGTGGCCGCTCTACCTGCCGGGCGAGCTCACCGACGCGCGAACCTGCCTCCCCTCCTCTTCACGCCCGCCCCCCCCCCCCCAACACACACACACACACACACACACACACACGCACGCACGCACGCACGCACGCACGCACGCACGCACGCACGCACGCACGCACGCACGCACGCACACACATACCTCTTGCCCACAGGTGAGCTCTCCATCGACACCCTCCGCTTCGCGCGCCCGGTCACGCTGCACACCAGCGCGCACAACCCGGGCGCGAGGGAGTTTGTCGACGCGCTCGCGGGCAGCATCGAGGGCGTCGTCGCGGCGGACGCGCCTCCGCTCGGGCGGGGGCGGTCCCGCGGCGCCCTTGCGCGGCAGCTCTCGCGGCGGCGGAGCTTCCCCACCGCAGGGGCGAGCGTGCCGCCGCACCCGCCGGCTCCTCCGCCCGGTCCAGGCAGCTGCACCGGGGACACCCTCTTTGCACCGTCTCGGAGCCTGCCTGCAGGCGCCGTCGCTCGGCCGGCAGCTGTCGCGCGCCCTCACGAGGGAGGGCCTCTCGCAGAGCGTGTTTGTGCTCTACCTCAACAGCGCCACCTTTGTGGGCGACGCCGGCCTCGCCCTCGCCGACGAGGCGTGCGGCAGAACAGTCGCAGACACACACACATGCACTACACCTGTACCTGTACCTGTGGCTCTCACACGCCGCATGCCTCAAGAGCAGGCACATCTATGGCTCTCACACACCACATGCCTGGCCTGACTCCTCCTCCACCTGCCGCTAGGTGCGCACGTGGCGCGCGGGCAAGGTGCAGCTCCTGCTGGTGCACGAGAGCGACCCGGCGCACGGAGGCTGCGACTTTGAGAACTTCTATGCCACCACACCGGAGGTCTGCGGCGCTGCCTGCCAGACTCCACACCGCTGCCCACTGCCCCTTCTGTGTGGCCTCGCCGTCGCCTCTTGTCTCTCCTTCTCTCGCCTCCGCCCCCGCCCTCACCCGGCAGCTCTCGCGGCCGCAGGACCTCGTCGCTGGAGGCCTCTACTCCGCACCGGCTGTCGAGCTCTACCCGCCGCCGCACCGCGACGTCTCCCTCGCGCTCGTGGCCAAGACGCTCGGCGCCGTGCGGCGCACCCTCGCCGCGCGCCTCTCTCTCGACCGCCTCTCCGCCCTCTCGACGGTCGAGACGGCGCGCTCCTCCGTGGCGCGGCTGTCCCTGGCGGGCCGACATGCGGAGAAGGGGCGCGCCCGTCGCGCGGCCAGGCCCCTCGCGCGCGTGTCGGTGCGAGGCGTCGGCAACGCGCGCTCGTCGGCGGGCGACTGGGAGCCACGCGGCGGCGCCCCGCGGCTCGGCCGCTCGGACAGCAGCCTCTCCTGGTGGGGCGAGAGCGACACGGAGAGCGGGCGGCGAAGCGAGGGCGGGGCAGAGAGCCGCGTGTGACGCGCCGGGTCGCCGGCACATGGACACGGCAGCGAGGCTTTCGACTTCGCCTGTGCTGCCAGCAGCCAGGGCGTGCGGAAAGTAACCGCTGCAATGGAATTCCATTTTGACGCCAGTACGTACATGCTGTACAGTTCAGGTCTTGTGTGTTGTCTTTGCATGTGTGTGTGGGGGCACCCCGCCTGCGCGCCCTGGGGCCGCCCGTGTCGCAAATCCGTACAGAGTACAGTTGAGCATGAGCATGAATCGTGAATGAGAATGGTGTGCATGTGTTTTTGTGAGGTGTGGTATAAGCGCAGTTCCAGTTGGCGTATCGCTATCGGATGGGCACAGCTGCTTTCTGCCCCGCTGGCGTGAGGTACCACTCCAAATGCTCCAAGATCTGGCTCCAAAAGAACGAATCCGGATGATCTAGGTGGAGCGTACTCCCGCGTCGAACCCCCGTCACGCCACAGCCGTGTGGCGCCCCCCTCTCCGCGCCGCTGTTGCAGCAGGCCCACGCTGCACCGCGGGCGATCTCGCCGCTCGCCCGGCGGCCGCGTCCCTGACACGGGCCAGCGACCGCCGCAGGTACTCGCGGAAGCGCTCGTTCCGTGTCGCGTCGCAGGTGAACGCGTCGCGCATCTGGCGCACGCCGCGCTGCAGGGCGGCCAGCCGGGAGGCGCGCGGCAGCAGCAGGCCTGCGTCGTGATCACACCGGCGTCAGAGTGCGGTGTCAGTTTGAAGTGTAGCTGGAGCATCTCGAAAGGAACGGGCTACGAATCCAGTGGATCCAGCTGAACGCAGCTGAGTGCGCGTCTTCTCAGAGCGCTTGTTGGAGGACGGGGATCTGTCCTCCAGAGCAGCACGCCTCCAGAGGAGCGGTTGTACTCGATCCGAGCGGAGAAGGACCTCCACGAGCCGAGCGGCGGCGGCACAAACTTGGAGTTGAGCAGCGGGACGCTGCCGGCGCGAAGCGCGTCGTAGACGCGCTTTGACTCGGGCGTGTCGCCCACCGGACAGAGCGCGAACCTAAGGCAGGAAAGGCACTGTAGACCACAAATGTCGCGACTCCACGTCCAAAGATGCGAGCCCCACGGCATTCAAAAGTGCAAGGCCCAGTGCGCGTGGGTGCGAGCGAACCTGCACGGGCGTGGCATGGACTCCCGAGTGCGGTCATGGCGTGGACGCGTCTCGCCAAACGGGACAGAGCGCACTCTGCGCGCGAGTACAGCGCCTGCAGCTCGTTCTTGATGACTCAAGAATGATGAATCATAATTAGAATTAAGGAGCGAGTGCAGCGCCTGCAGCTCCGCGTCGGAGATGGTCTGCCGGCCCTGCAGCGTGTGGAGCGAGGCGCCTAGCCAAGCCTCTGATCAGTCAACCTCCTCCTCGGGCGGGGGCCCCCTCTTCTAACCCTCTCCAGTGCATGGCGCTTGACTGATTCATCTGTGTCTTCGCCTGCGGTGCGGCGCAACGCGCGGATCGCCCGTGCGCGCGGGTGCTCCTTCTTCTCGCCAAAGGCTCGCTCGAAGGTGGCCCCCACAAACAGGACCCTGACAGGCCGATGTGAGGACGCCTGCGGTGTGAATGAAACGTGGGGGTTCGCACTGCTTGGTGTGCGGAAAGGGAGAGAAGAGTCTCGTGCGAGCACCGCTTCTTGCTGCTCCGGCTGGCAGTACCAGAGGTGGACGGCGCGGGAGTGGTCGACGGGCCCGAGCGCCTCGGCGCAAAAGTGGGCGAACCGCCGCGAGCCTTTCGGGTGAGGTGGCTCAAACCATTGAGATGCCGGGCCGCGCGACTCTCGCGGCTGGGCGTCAAGGGCTTCGAGGTCAGAGATGATGGTGGATAGGATGCGGATTTGACATCTGTGCACCCTCACCCCACAGGAGAGGGAAGGTCTTGCGCATGTGCGACGTGAGGCCGTCCTGCCCACTCTGCAGCGCGCAGCGCAGTCCGTTGAGCAGGTGCGGCCTGTGTTGATAGGTTGCAATCTCCGCGAGGACGCGGCGCTGCACAGCCGTCGCCTGCGCGGCGACGGCGCCGGAGCTCTTCCAGTTCGGAAGCCTCGTCTCGAAGTAGACGTTGATGAGGCACGCCGGGTGGTAGAAGACGGTGGCCCGCTGTGGGTCAGTCGTCACGAGCCCTGCTGCGCGGAGAGCGGCCGAGAGGAAGAGAAAGTAGTTGAGGCCGCCGGCCGAGGCACGGCCTGGGCTGCACGAGCCGGACGTGTCGTTGTAGATGAATAGCATCGCGGAAATGACGATGGCGTGCCGGCCGTGGGCCCGGACGAAGGTCCTGAAAACGCGAGCAGAGGCTGCCGTGTGGGGCCACGGCGAGCCTCGCGAGAGAAGTCAGCTAGGGTGCGCAAAAGCAAGACTCGGGACAGCAGGCGGATCTGACTACCTTAAGGTACATTGTACGGGTAGCCAGGCTGGACGCTACTCTGGCACTCCACACTTCACACTCATCACGAGCCCTGCCTGGGGCTGTGCGCGGATCTTTGGCCGCGGCGTCCGGAGCTTTGGTCGTCGAATATCGGCCGCCAACTAGGCCATCGAGCGAACGTGTCCGGTCTCCGGAGAGGGGAGAGGCTCTCGGATGGGTCCGGCAGCGGTGCCATGGACCCAGACGGCTCGCCCCGGCGGGGAGCACTCACGGCTCGACCCCCGCCCCTGGCCACCCAGACGTGCCCTTGGACAGCCGTAGGGGCTCGCATGACCACGTTGGCGCCCGCGACGACGCCCTCCCCGACGACGTCGCATATTCCTATCGTTTTTCGGCAGACAACGTGGGAGCTGCAGCTGCAGAGCGATATAAAATGCAAACCCGGTTCGCAGTTCACCCTCTGGTAGAGGAGAGCGACGCGACAGAGGATGAAGCGACAGGAGAAAGAACGACGAGAGTGGGACGACCGCGAGGTGGCATGAAGGTTTGCAGCGAGAATCGGCGAGGGACTGCGAAGAGAGATAGGAAGAAGCAGACGCCCAAGGGTGGGCGACGGCTAGCGCACCACACTCCTCTCCTTAAAATCCCTGTGTGGTGGCGGCGTGCCGTCCTCCCATCCCTCCCTTGGCCTGGCTGTTTTCTTTCTTTCTCGGGTATGTTCGTAAGTGGTAAGATCCACATACACTGAAAATCCGGCGTGGGTAAAAAACAAAAAAACATCTTGCCACAGCAGGCTGGAAGTACCTCGCCAGGGGGGCGGCGGCGGCGGCGGGCGGCCCGAGGGGGGGGGGGGGGGGGGGGGCCTTCCTAACCTCCCAACTTTTGGGGGCACCTGGCCTCTTGGGGGAACGAGCCCCATTGCATCCGTCCTGACTAATCTACATGGGCGCCACGCTCGAGTCCCCGATCACGAAGCTCTCCAAGGAGGAAAAGGCGGCCAAGAAGGCAGCCAAGGCGGAGAAGCTGGCGAAGAAGGAGGCCAAGATTGCAGCCAAGCTGGCCGCAAAGGACGTGGCCGCAGAGCCGCCGGAGCCGGTCGATGAGGAGGTTGAGCAGGCTGATGTGGAGGAAAACGAGGTGGAGGAGGCGGCGGACGACGGCTTCAAGGTGCACAAGTACGTGCCGCCGCCTGAGCCGGAGGACGAAACGCTGCAGTGCCGCGATTGTGGCGGCGACTTCATCTTCACTGTCGGCGAGCAGGAGTTCTTCAAGTCGAAGGGCTTCGACAACAAGAAGACGCGCTGCGCCGAGTGCACCGCAGCCAAGAAGGCTCGCTTCGGCGAGGACGGCGGTCGCGGCGGCGGCAAGGGCAAGGGCGGCAAGGGCGGCGGCAAGGGCAAGGGCGGCGGCCGCGGCGGCTTCGCTTGTTACAACTGTGGTGAGGAGGGCCATCGCTCGTCGGAATGTACTAAGCCTCGCGCGGAAGGTGGCAAGGGCGGTGGCGGCGGCATGTGCTATGCCTTCCAGAAGGGCGAGTGCAGCCGTGGCGACTCGTGCAAGTTCAAGCACGCGTAAGCAAGGCTGCAGCGCCGGGGGTGCTAGGCTGGGAGAGGTAAGAGCCCAAGACGGCAAGCACTGTGGCCCCACGAGCATAGAGATTAGGGCCTGCACTGCCCTCCTCGCTTGTCTTTGTGCCGTTTGAGTGTACCACCTTCGTAACGGTGTAAGCGTCGAAGAAAACGCTAAGGCAAGGCGGCGAACGAGCGTCCTCTCCACAGTCCTGTGCACCTCCCGCTCCCCCCAGGCGACCCCAGCTCTCATGAACTATGGAGAGGACCCGCGTCGCCACAGTCGACGCAGAGCAGACAACGGGGAGGCGGAGCAGACGCGCAGGACGAGACGAGGGAGGGAGCAGGACTTTGCGGAGATCAGCAGGAAGATGTATATATACGCGAAGAGATTACGCTGCTCCTTGGTAGTCGAACATCGACCTTTGAACCTTAGGAGCAGCAGGGGGGGAGACCCGAGGGACCACATGCACATGCACGTGCAACAAGACTGCTGGTAGTGCTTAGAGTGCTAGTCCCCCATTCGGGAGGCTAGTCCTCGCCGACCGCTCCCCACAAAGAGAGAACACCCTGCACACAAAGCGATCGGGATCGCACGGGCGGTGTCTCTCTTCCCGTTTTTAGCTCTTGCCTCTCTTCGTTTTACCCACCACGATCTCCTTGTAGAGCGGTGTCCCCGCGTTTTTATCTATTTATTTCCTGTGCCCAGAGGACTGTGATAAGGAGTGGGGCCCGAAGGCTAGAGAGGGGAAACGCCCGCGCCCCACCGCTCTCACTCACCTGCTCCGAGTGCTCGCACCGGCGCAGCGACAGGTCGCGTTTACCACTGGCCTCTGCGAATCGCCGCATTGGATGAGCTCGTCTGGGTCCCACTCACCATCAGTGGGAGGACGTCCTCCGCATCTGAAGACGGCGCGGCAGCCCCGGGCCACCCAGACGTCGCCACGCCCGATACCGTACGTCCTGCCAAGTTCGCACGGGGTCCGAGAGACCTGTCGCTTGAACGATATTTCGGCGGCGCAGGGGTTGGCTCGAGCGGCGAGATAGGGCAGGCGCGCTGCACCGAAAGCTCGGGCGCACGGATGGGGAAGAGGCGAAGTAGCGCCGGTCCGTCTGGTCCTCCCCTTCGTCACCGAGGCGTTTGACCGTTGGCTACCCCAGCGGCGATGACGCGCAACCGGCCGCCGGTGCGGCCGCCGCGCAACCACCGGAGGGCAGCCTGAGAGGTTGACCGTGCTGAGAAATTGCATGCCGCCGACCGAGCTTGGCGTCTCATTCCGCGCGCTGCCGCAATCGTACGCAAAGGATCTCGCGCCCAGGGCCGACGGCTGCGGCAGCGCCAGGGCCGCGGAAGCATTCTTCTCGTCGCCGCGCATCCGGCGCATCATAGCCACACCGCGAGAGAAGGAGGAGAACGAGTTGCCTACGGTTACGATCGACCTCGGTTGATTGTGGGCAATCTCAGATGATCTTCGGACCGGAGAGCGGCAGCCGTAGAAGCCGCCCGGAGCGCGCGTCGCGAGGAAGAGCTCGGCCGCCGATCGCATCGTGTATGGCAGCTTGGTCGGGATGTCGATGGTGGTCGTGCGGTTGCCAAACGCGCTGAGCACGACCCTTGGCCCTCGCGGCGAGACATTGTCGGCAGCGTAGAAGAGGACCGCTCCGGTGGAGTGGCGGCGCTTGCGGTGCTCGAGGGTGAGCGCGGCGGCCTGGGTCGGCGTAAAGCAGCGCTGTGAAGGGTATCGTGGGTGCCAGCAAAAGTCGGTATCCTCCCACCAGTCGCGCTCGATGCGTAGGTGCACCGCGGTCCAGCGTGGACCGGCGGCGGCGGCCGCCTCGGAGGCGAGGCGATCCACCACGGCTAGCAGCTGTGCGCTCGGCCGGAGAGCGGAGTACACCCTCGGCAGCGCGTGGCCGTACCGTGCCGGCCAAAGCTTGTTGATTGCAACGAGCTTGGCCTTTCTGAAGGACGAGTTGGCCGGCAAGGGCGCGGGGGGTGACGCCACGGCGGCGCACGGCCGCACGCGATCGATGAAGTGCGCCGCGTCGAAAAGCTCGTCAAAAGCAAACGGCCGCCGCGTGTGCTGGCCTCGGAGCTTGAAGAAGCGCCACCCGGAGGTGAATTTCGGCAGCACAAAGACAGAGTCGCTGCGGCAGGCGTCGTCGAGCATCTGGGCGATGCACATCAGCGCGTTGTTGAGACCGGCGCCGAGCTCGTCGTCGACGGCGATGCTGAGGTAGCGCATATGTATATATATATGTGTGTGTTGTGTGGACCCGCCACAAACGACCGCGTAAAACTGTCGAGGTCCGACGAGTGTTTTACCGTTCCGGCATCCGCCCGTCGCATCGCCGAGCCGGGCCACACACGTGCGTCCCCGAGGCGCCCGCGATACGCTCTCCTTTGTGTTTTCCCACCTTCCTTCTCGTCTGAAGGTAAAGGTACTAAGCTTTATGAAAATACGACGCGCTTGCTGAATTCTATCTCTTGTAAAATTCTATCTCTAGCGCGAGCACGAGCCACGAGGTGCTTGAGCATCGATATTCTCTGCTTCGTCGAAAAATCAAAGAATGACGCGGCCAGACAGAATAGAGCAGCGGTATCGATTGACAGTCAGAACATGCCATGAAGAAGACAGAGTGCGACTACTGACGTACGAACGTACGAACGTACCGGGATGCGGGAAATTCAAAAAAATTGTCGCAGGAGGGCGCTCCCTGTACACGGCGCGCTGCGCTGTCACACACTGCTATAACTGTGCCAAGCGGCGAACGATCGCAGGGCGCGGGGCGCTGCCCCTCACTCATGCCACCTCCGCCCGGACCTTCTCGAGCTCCGCGTCGCGTGCCGCCACCGCCCCCTTGAGCTCCGCCACCTGGTCGAGCGCGTCGCCGAGCAGCCCCTTGGCCACGCCAAAGTCGCGCAGATGCTCCACGCCGCCGCTCGCCCGCACCTCGGCGGCGTGGTCGGCCACGTAGCGGCGGCACTGCGCGAGGAGCCGCCCGTCGCCCATCGTGTGCGCCGCCTCGAGCAGCGGCACGGCGGTCGCCGGCGCGACGCTCTCCTGCAGCGCCTGCGCGCAGAGCAGCTCGAGGCGCGGCACCTGGCACATCTGCGCCAGCTCCCGCAGGTCGAGCGCGCGCTGCGCCCTGCCGCCCTCCTCCTCGCCGAGGTCGAACTTGTTGGAGAGGAGGTAGTCGATGAGGGCGGTGAAGCTGGCGAGGTCGGTGTGGGACACCGTGACCTCGGCGGCGTCGCGCTCCTTCATGCCGATGCCGAACATGGTCCGAAAGACCGGGGACCGGGCGCAGAGGACAGCCTTGGTGACGTACTCGATGCGCTCCCGGTCGTCGCCGACCAGGAAGGTGACTTTCCCCTCTGGGAGGGATGCGTCTCCCCGCGTCTTTGCGAAGTCAGATCCAAGGGTCGAAGGCGGAACGACGATCGGGGCAAGGAGGGAGGCGGAGGAGGCGCAGCCACGCAGACCTGGCGGACGCCACCTGTCGAACTGACAAACAGCGTGCTGCCATCGGCGCTGATGGCGACTTCTTCTGGGCCGTCGAATTGCGCTGCGTCGCCCACGCCGTCAGCGCTGCCCTCTGTGCCGCTGCCCGCGATCGTCGTCACCTCTCCCGTCGCCACCTCCACCCGCCGGATCTTGTCGTTGCTGCAGTCCGTCACAAACAGCGCGCCGCCGTCGGGGCTGATGGCGACGCCAGCTGGGCAGCAGAACTGCACCGCGTCGCCCACGCCGTCCGCGTCGCCACCCTCGACGCTGCCCGCGAGCGTGGTCACCTCTCCCGTCGCCACCTCCACCCGCCGCATCTTGTAGTTGTTGGTCCGTCACAAACAGCGCGCTGCCATCTGGGCTGACAGCGATGCCATGTGGGTCGCAGAACTGCGCCGCGTCGCCCACGCCGTCCGCGTCGCCACCCTCGCCGCTGCCCGCGATAGTCGTCACCGCGCCAGTCGCCACCTCCACCCGCCGGATCTTCTGGTTGCCTTGGTCTGCCGCGATTGATGAGGACGCTCTGCTTTTGCGTATGGCCGCCGTCCAACCACCTGCTTGCCTCGCGGATCTCAATGACGATCTGTTGAGGATGATCGTCGGTCGGCCGAGTCTGAACTAGCTTCCGCGGTCGCGCTCAAACGATGCAGCAGCCGCTTCAAGGACCTCGCCGCCCCGCTGGTGGCAAACGCTGTGTCGGTTACAAATGAGAAGTGGCGGGATGCAGCATCCAAAATCGGCGGCCGAGTCGGAGCTAAGATAACAGGCGCCCTCGAGCGCAATGAGGTGCGGACCTCCCCTTGGGTGTGCCGATGAGCAACAAGATCGGCTCCACCGGCGCCACCGCGATGCCGACGCCCTCAAGGGCACCGCGGTGCTCACCGACTTGAACCTCGGATGCTCGACGTCTCGAGGTCGAGCGGGAGTTAGTTGCCGGCGAAGTCGTAAGTGCGTAAAGTGCGGGGGTGCAGTGTGCCCAGTGCGCAGTCCCGCAGAGAGCGCAGTGGCCACAGCGAGGCCAGCCAGCGCGTCGGCCGTCGCGCATGTCGCGAGAGGTGGCTTTTCCTTTTGAATATTGCTTATTGGAGAACCACACTACGGTCCACATAGATTTACACGGCGCTGCGAGTTCTCGCGCACAAAGTGCTAGCAGCATCCGCTGCTGAGCATGCTGCGCTTGAGAGGTCCAGCGCGCCGTTTGGGGGCCGGCCCGCCCTCCCCTGGGGGGGGTACCCCTCCCTGTGGGGTACCCCCCCCCCCCCCCCCGAGCCCACTCAGAGCCCCCCCCATGCACGGCCCACATCCTCGCGTGCGGCTCACTATGCGGAGCACACTGACGGCGCGAGGTACTCGCTGAAGCCGATGGGCCGAGCCGCTGGCGGCGATCCGCCCTCGCCGCCGCCGCCGCCGCCGACAGAGTCAACGCAAGCCTCGCCGCCCTTGCTATAGCTGTCGCCACCGCCGCTGCCGCCGGTGGCGCCGCCGCTGCCGCCGCGACTGCCGCCGGTGACGCCGCGCGGGGGAGGAGAGGAGTACGCGCCGGACGCCTCTGCCAGCGCCGCGAGCGCAGCCTTGGAGCGGAGCTCGCTACGCAAGCCGCCGCCCGCGCCACCAGCCGCGCCGCCGCCGGTGGCGGGCGGAGTGCGCACCAGCCTCGAGGCGTCAAGCGCGGCGGCGCTGGGCGGGCGGACCGGGCGGCCTGCGGGGCTGCCGCACGCCGCGCCCGCCGAAGCGCCGCCCGCCGAAACGCCGCCCGCCGCCGAAGCACCCGCCGCCGAAGCCCCCGCCGCCGAAGCGTCGCACGCGGCCATCGAAGCTGGTCGCTCGAGCGTAGAGACGGACGCCGCGCA